ATTATATATACTTTTGTTTACATGTTCCTTTTTCTTACAAATTTTGTATCTGCTCAATACGTCTGTTTTTGGAGAGGGGTACTAAAGCTTCTAGTATAATGATAAAACTGAATTTTTTACTTTTTTGGTACCAGAGATCAAACTCACTACTACACGTTTAGAAGGCAGGTGCTTATGCTGCTGAGCTAAATCCCCAGCCCAGAACTGAATTTTTATAACCTTTATTTAGATATCTTTTCCAATTCCATTTCTATATTTCTAATACAATTGGGTAGTCTTTTTAAAAGAAAAATTTCATTTAGATTGATTTTGATTACTGAAATATTTGGACTCACTGTCACCTTTATCTCTTTGACTTGTGTTTATAATTTTTCTCTTAGCTGGTTAGATTTAAAAAAACTTTGGCTCCATTTTCCATACAATAATTTTGAAAAGTGAAAATACACTTTTCTAAGTTTAAGTCAACATAAAAGCATATTTACCATTTCAAAAATTGCAAAGGATATCATTTTTACAATATTAAGACCCACTCATTAAAATATCCACGATTTATCGTAATGATTTAATATCTAACATCATTCCTTAAAACATAAATAAGCTGTTTTTTGAATTACACTTTTTTTCTTGTACTGGAGATTAAAACCAGATCCTCACATGCTAGTCAAACACTCTACAGACCTGTATCCTAGCATTTTAAAAATTGTTGTTTTGTTTTGGCTACAGGGCCTCAGCATGTTGCTCACAGTGGCCTACAGCTTGCAATCCTCCTATCTTAGCCTTCTGAGTAGCTGTGACTGCAGGCATGTGTCCTCTTAGCTGGCTCAAGTTTTACTTGTATTTAAAAATTTTTTAGTGGTTCTGAAACTAAAGCCTTGTATATATTTACTGACCTACTTCCCTAGGCCTGAAGTTTTTCTTTAGTAGAAAATTTACGTTACTTATTCTCAGTACTTCCATTACACTTCAATGTAATATCTAATGCTTCAAAGTCTTTTACTGATTCCCTATCACACATATGCTTCCCAAAACATATTACAATCACATTTACTGAAATAAAAATTTGGAAGGGATCCAATGACTGTAAGTCTTCAAATATTGAGGATTGTTGCCTGAATTATCACTATTACTCAACTGACAACAATAAATATTAAAATTCAGTACGTATGCTAGAATGAGACATCAAATTTGTTATAATTTTTCAAATATCGATACAGGTACTACTAAGAATTCATGTATATAAATAAAAGTGGATAGGAAGAATCCCTTTTATATAATGATGTCACTAACTCCTGAACTTTCCCAAGTTACATGCTAAAAGTCATAAACTGATCAATCATTAACTTGTTCAATAATCTTAGATACAATTTAAGCTTTCTTTAATTTTTTCTGCAAGTGAAGAACTGAAACTAAAACTATTGCAGACCCTGCTGTTCAAATCATGGTATTTCTCAATTCCTTAATTACACAAAAACCTTCACCAAGACTTACATATAACCCTTTTACTTAAGTGAGGTTGTTTATGAAACTTAAAATTAGACAAAATTGAGGGAAAACATTGGAAACACACATTTCTTGAAGATAAACTACAAATTTTATTACTGATACTGTAATTTACATTTTATGAATTGGAACATAATGCAAATATCTGCGAAGAATTAGCTCTAAGTAACGCTGGCTTTCTAGTTGAAAGGTTATGTAATAATACGTATCTTGGGAGACATTTACTCTGGTAAGTGTAGGTTCTACTTTTAATTGTAGTATTGTATCAAACTAAAACACATTTAATTATCTCAGAAATTGAGAAGCATTTAAAAATTGATAGTATTTCTTAGTTTAGCCATGTTTTTCAAGTGGTATATAAAATGGCAAATTTTGATAGTTTTAGATTAGGTGATAAAACTTGGAAATTAAAAGCAAAAAGAAAAGATGATACTGAGTCACTAGTCTTAAAATTACAAAATATTTCTGTTAATTTGTTCTTACGTACGTAACAGTGATCAAGAAAGCAAATAACTGAATGACAATAGGAGACCTGGGCCTACGTAAAACAATATGCATATAGAGTCCAATAATGTATAGGCAAAGGTTAATGAAAAGGTTTATCCTAATAATCCATGACATGTTCCAGAAATTACAAAACCATGAACTTACCTCTAACACATGTTCTAACTTGAAGATATAATGTTAGTATGTCAGAAGTATGGAACTTCTTCCTTGAAATCTACAAATTATGCTAAAACATGGACTGTGACACATTTATCAGACTCTATCACTAAGGAAAGTGAAAGTACAATATAGAAATCCTGCTTCACAGGCTCTAATTAAAACCGGCTGGGATCTGAATATTCTAATTCTTACAGATAATATACCTTACCATTTGCCTGAAAAGTTTCCTTTCCCTTCATGTTATGTTTCTATTCTGTTTTATACACTTTATCCACAGATCTGGCTTTTTAAATTGTCAGAAAACAAAAAGCATAAAGTCATTAAATACATAGTCATCTCCTTACTTGATGAATACATCTGAATTATGAACACTTCCACATAGGTCACTGGGTAACACATTTCTAACATTGTATCTCATCAATATTAAGATTATATTCATTCTTTCATAATCCTTCAATTAGGGTAGTCAAAAAGATCTGTTCAGGTTCAAATGGAAGGGATACATTTTGACAGGGTTGTGTGAAGGATCTGGGAGAGTACGTGTGACCTGAAATGACATTAGGGTTATTTTAGGAAAATACAGCTTGCCACAGGTTTCTTTTGCAAAATGGAAGGCGATTATGAAAAGAATTAGTATGATCTCTTAATTGTGGGCATGTTCTTAGGTACATCTATTTTAACGAAGAGTTCATAAGGGAACTGAGGATATAAACTGGAGCTTCCCTTAAAGGTAACCATGTCTTACATCTCTTGGAAAGCTGAATATCCTTGAAGACTCTGTCGTAGTTTAATACTTCCTCCTCCAATTATCTGACTTTCTAAGATACATTCTTAATGAAACATTTTTCTAAAAAGTTGATCAGTATTTCTGTGTAAATGTAAAATGGATATTCTGGAACACTAAAAAACCAATCACTTTGCATTTTAAGAAGTTTTCTTTCACTCAGCTGAACAACAACAACAACAAAAAAAAAATAGAAAGAAACCAAATTACCAATGCCATAAAGACTTCATCTACCAATGCTATATACACTACCAATGCTGTATGCATCTTTTCTGGGGAAAAATACGTTTTCTCCTTCTAAATGAAGTCATCAAAGGTCAAATCTGAAGCAGGTGTTGATAACTCAGCAAGAAATTTTGTTTACTATTTTGCTTCTAAAGTGAAATAATATAAACTATTAGATGAGTTACATTTGACTGTTTTCCAAGTATGATGTAAATACACTAGCATAAAATCCTTCTTTTATTTTCTGAGGTATGGTCTTGCTAAATTTCATAGGCTTGCCTCCAATTTATAATCCTCTTCACCTTGCCTGCCAAATACTCATATTACAGGCATGTACCACTATACCTGGTATCTTAACTTCTCTGTCTCTGACAATAACTTAATGATCTCTAAAAGATTATTTAATAATAATTTCCAAGTATTTTCTGAAGATATTTCTTATCTATTAAGTTTAATAAAAGGTATTTACAGAGCTGGGGATTTAGCTCAGTGGCATAAGCGCTTGCATGACAAGTGCAAGGTTGTGAGTTCAGTCCCGGGTACCAAAAAAAAAATGTCTCATACATCATGACCTCAACATAGCTGGCAAGACAAGATGTTAGGGAATGACTTTTCCTTTAAAATTGTGAGTTAAATCACTGCTATTCCTTTACTACATGTAGTTGAAGAATATTATAAGAATCAGAATTTCTATTTTAATTCATCAAATATTTAGTGCCTATTTTGCTGGTATTACTTTCAAAAACGGAGAACATAGGGGAAATTAAAAAAAAAAAAGCACCATTTATTGAGTGTGCTATTCCCAGGCACTGGCTTAAGAGTCTCACACATATATAAATTCATTTAATCTTCAAACATGCTACCTTTATGACACAGGTACTATTAATTTCCACATATGAGAAAATCATAAGTTAACTCATACAGATAGAACTGACAAAGAATTTCCAAAATTGTGGCTCTCATGGAGTTTTCATTAAGAAGAATTGGGTATTGCTCAAACAGATGGTGTGACCATTTCATTTTCAGATGCTTCTTTTTAGGAATGTTGAAACAAAATTTTAACTAGCTCTTTTCATGTTTTATGGCCTGAAAATATCTAATGAAAGTACACTTAAGGCTTGAGTTAAAAAAAAAAAAAACTTGTGCAGAAATTCACTGTTCTATATCCATTACTGTAGGTACATATACATGTATATACATGTATGTAGCATTTCTTCCTTCAGAAAGCCACTTCCCTAGTCCAAGTAGCTAGTGGGGCTAAAAGATAACAAAACTTCCTCTCTGTATAGGGGTGGGTCTAAGGTTCAAGCTACTGTCATTAGACCTCACTGCCTTGGTTAATTGGTTTAATAATACAGAAACATCAACTACAAGCATGGCCAATCTGTCTTCTCTGAGGCTGACAGAATTAAGTGATTTCAGATTGCTGGTAGTCATCTTTTTTGGCCTCAAGAAAATAATTCCACATTCTGCGACAGAAATTGAAACAGAGCACTTATCTAGCTATGCATGTTCTAACTTTGCTTTTTCTGATTGAGTATAAGCTCGTAAGTGGGTTTCTGTGATTTGCAATCAATTTTCAAAGCAATTTTACAGAAGTTTTAGATAAAACATGTATGTACAACAACGGTTATTTCAAATATGAACAATCTTTAGCTGTTCTCTTCCTTTAGGAACAAAATGAACTGTCTTTAGCTCAACAGATGGTTTATCCATTTTATCTAGAAGTATATTTCATTTTCAAAACTAGTTAGCAAAACATTTTACAAATTCTAAGTGATTACAAGGCAATTTTACTTATTATACCAGAAAATCACAATATGGCTAGAAAGACAAAATGGTTTATTTTAAAACACTGGAAAACATTATAAGACAAATGTTCATTATATAATCAGTAGTATTAAATATATGGAAACTGTAAATCTTCTAAATGTGGTAGGCACTTCCAGAGAGCTATACACTGCATTTATCCTATCTTCTTCTCTAACACTTGATATGATGAAAAATATGAAGACCTTACTAGTTATCCAAAGTCATCAACTTTGGGTTCAACTTAACCACAAAGTAAAAGTTTTGTCCAAGATGTTCCTGACACATGAAGCTTCCAGGTGAATTTCAGAAATGTTAACAAAAGTATCTTCCTTTTTTGCCTGTGAATGTTTGAGTATTGTTGTACTGTTGGCTTATATCCACTACAGATACTGGTTCTAGGCCAGCCCAAGGGTCTTCAAGCATTGAAGGCTTGAAATAACTTTCCAACTCATTAGACATTCTTTTTTCTCTAACACGCCCTGATCCAAATGGTGTAGATGTCCTTGGAGAACCCTTTAGGAAAAAAATCATCAGTTAAAAAAACATTTAGTGAGATATTGGTAATTTTTCCTTTTGTTAAAGACTAGTGAGGTTCATATTGCTGGTTAAAAGTTGTCTCTTGAAACCAAATACAGATATTCAATCGCAAAGTTCATGCTTCCTTTAATGCGTTTCTGCTAAAAGTTCTTAAACCAGTTTGGTATGCTTATTAATTCCATTCCCACTGTCACCTCAATTTTTTTTTGAGTTTTCAATGTAATTACTCTGCTGTTATTAAACCCAAGTAGTAGTGAAATCAAATACAAGCAGTGATGTAATAAAATAGTATTCAATCTTCCCTGGAAACTTACTTTTTATCCTGGAGGATAGCAAAACTTATTTTTAACCCTATGAAGTTCCGAGAATTTGTGTATCTCACGAAAAATTTCTATTAGGTCCAAGCTCAAAGGGGTGGGGATGATTTAGCACACACAAAATTGGAAAACACCGCGTACATCCAAGTTGTTAGCGAAAAGAAATCCTAGACACACTGGAAATACTCCCTCTGCCTTGTATTCATTCTCACTGAAATGGAAAACTTTCAGTGGTACAGAAGGGAAACGTAGCTCGAAAAAAGATAAAGGTTTAAAAAGGGGGTGGAGTGGGGAGGAAGAAAAGTAACTGCTGTAGAAAATGGCAACAGCTTATAATCCACAGAAACTATATACTGGGGATTCACCCAACTGTCTCCCTCAGGAGCTCAAGGGCTTGGAATAACTTACCGAGACGAACTGACAAGATCCTTGGTAAAGAGGAGGAAACACAGAATTTGGGAAAACTGTTCGAGTGTCAGTTCACTGGTTAAAAGCACAGGGGATCTACAAGAGAACTATAGCTCTGCATTTTTTTAAGGCTAATTGTAAGGAAAATAAATTCTCTAAGCCTCAGTTGATTCATCTGCAAAATAGGGTTAACAATAGAAAGTCACCTCAGAGAGGAGTAAACAAAATAATCCACGTAAAGGGAATATGAGTACCATGCCTGCCACACAGGAAGAGCTCGGCAAACGCTGGCTATGATTACCTGGGGGTGGGTCTGCTGCTGCCCTGGGGAGTAGCCGAATTGCTGCTGGGACCCCGCGGGGGACCTGGAGTACGAGCCAGGGTAGCCGCCAGGGGACGGAGACCCGAGCCGGCCCCCCGAGAAGCCGCCGCCGTGTCGCGGAGAGTGGCTGCTTCCGTAGGGCCTAGCCCGGGGCCCGCACGGCGGCGTGTGGTGCGGGCTCCCGTACCCGTCCCGAGGGGAGGGCGGCCGCGGTCCGCCCCCGCCCGGGGTACCCAGGAAGCTGCTTCCGCCACCCCAGCCTCCTACACCCGGGCCGGGGTAAGGAGGAGTCGGGGGTCGAAAATTCGGTCGGTGCATGGCAGGAACCGAAGACGAAGACTTCACTGCCGCGTTCTCCCACCGGAACTGTATCGACGGACCCGCCACACCGAACAGCTAGTCCTTTATACAAACAGTCCCTCAGCCGCCAAAGCCTCGTGGCACATTGGTTCCTGCCTCATAAAGGGTCCGCAACGGGCAGCAGGATAAACAGGATACTAAAGTCGGAGGAGAACTGAGTGGAATTAAGTGAAGGAAGAGAAAAAGTAATGGAAAAACAGAACACTACTCTAGCGCGGGTCTTCTGAGACCACCAAATTTCAGTCTGCCGTTAGAGGAGGACGCCGGACCAGGGACGGAACGAATTCACCAGCGCCCCTCTCCGCCCCGTCCGGCGGGGGCGGAGCCTCAGGTGCCCTCGAGCGCCCCCAGTGGTGAAGGCGCCGACTCGCAGTCTTTGCTTCTCACTCCGCGGCGGGGGCGGTCCGAGTGGTGCGCCATGCTGAGGAGCGCGGCGGCTCTGCGGAGAAGCGCCCTCCTCTGCGGCCGGGGCGGCGGGAGGGGGCTGTGGACTGGCCGCCCGCAGTCAGGTACCCTCCGACTCCTTGTGGGCGGCGAGAGGGACCCCAGCCCCGGGTCATCTCAGGGCGCCCTTGAGGGGAGCGTTGCGCTTTTGCGTAGTCTCTGTGGCCCCCGTGGCCCGCGCTGTTGGCTTTTGTCCCCCGAGCCCTCACTCCGGGCCCGAGGTTCTGCAGCCTCGTCAAGATTGCCCTGTGGGCCCCGGTATCCCTAGGTCCGTTCCTTCCCCGGGCTCCCCGCGGTGGACCCGCGCCTGCACTACCTTATCCAAGTGTAGAAATTGTCCAGCTCCAAAAAATTTAAAAAAAAAAAGGAGAAAGCACATCGTAGTTGCATTTCAGAAAGCAGCTCTGCTTGGAATAATTTAGAGGACGCCTTCTAAATAATGTAGACAAATGCCGGACTTTACCCTTTTCCTTCAAGTTCTGTGGAAGCGAGCGAGTCAGGGAGGTGGCTGAGAAGCCAAGTGCTGAGGTGCAGCAAGAGCGAGATGTGGCCAGCGCTCTACACACCCCTCTTGTTTCACAGATCGTAGTTGTAATGAAAAGCGAGTTAATTCAAGGATGACCAACCTCGTGTGCAATAAAACACGACTTTGTGCCAGATATCCGCCAGCAGATTTTAGAGGATGAAATTTAGGTTTATCAGATTTGTAGACCTTTCTTGTAAATCTTGAAGTGAGTTTGTAGGATATAGAACCTTGAAGAACTTCAAGACTCATTCAGACCATGCACAGTTTGTGGCCACTCTTCCTCATTGTCTATGGGACATGCCTAACTTTTCTGTTTCCATCCTGCTTGATGAATAGAGTTTGTTTGTTTGTGTTTTTTTGGATTTTTTTTTTTTTTTTTTTTTTTTTGGTGGTGATTTATTCTGGGGAAACTTGGTTGGTGTTTCTCTTCTAGACAAGTTTTAGAGTCAGTCAAGTTGGGATAGTGGTATTAAACTTAAGTATGTAATAATTAAGGCCCTAGGACTCTAGCTTGTCTGCTTTATTACAAAGTTTTTGTCCTGTCCGAAAACTCTTTCTTTCTAAATGTTGTGCTTGGCTTAATGTCTGGTATATAATTGGACACTTAGGTATTTATCAAATGAATGAATAAGTCCTATATACCATAGGTCAGTGATTTTCACTTTTTATGTTATCAACCAGTCTTGCTTTAGGAAGAGGGTAAAGAAGTGAGGGAAGTAGAGGCCAAAATTACTTTATTTTTTTAACAACTAGCAAAAGGAATGCAGAGTTGATTCTCACTTTCATGTGTAAAGTACTATAAATTGCCGTCTTATTGGGCTTATGCTTACATAATTCTTTTCTACAAGCAATGAAATTGCATTAGAAATGGAGGAGGGAAGAAATATGTCGGAATTCTTACTTCCTTTTGAGACAAAGTCTCACTGTATACTTTAGGCTGGTCATCACTGTGTAGCCCAGGCTGGCCTGGAACTCATGGTGATCCTTTTGCCCGAGTCTGCTGAGTGCTGGGATTACAGGTGTGCACCACTGTCCCTGGCCTACACTGGAAATTTTTTGACTGGTAGATTATGTGTGACAGTGTGCCTAAGAACATTTTTACAGGTATATCTGAAGGACAGGGAATTTTTGCTATATGAAGCTCTAGATTCAATTGGAGTACTTGTGAGACTAGACCACTTTAATCTTTTTTTTTTTTTTTTTTTTAATGTTCTATGGAGTTAGCTCAAGGCTTCATCCATACTAGGCAAGTGCTTTCCCACTGAGTTACACCCCTAGACCTAACTTTCCATATTACAGGTGAAAAATTAGCCAAGAGAAGTTAAATGATTTGCAAGCAGAAGTAGGACTAGAACTCAAGCTTCCTGAATTTCAGGCAGGGTCCCCCCTCCCCAACAAATATGAATTGTCAGGATGGACAGAATGTTGCATACTTGTAGTCTCAAGACTCAGAAAGCTGAGATGGAAGTGTCACTTAGTCCCAGGAGTTTGAGATCAGCCTGGGCAACAGACCTGTTTTCAGATCTCAGATTAAGAGAGGAGGAAGGGGAAAGGGAAATGAATTGATACTCCATTCTTTAAGAAATACAAATAGGTAAGCCATGTATATTTTTGAAAGTGGTACTGTGTAGCTTATTTTTAATTTAAGGATTAGTAGATATAACTTTACTATTGGATCTTTCTAAATATGGGCCACATGATAATTTTACCTAACATATAATAAGAGTACTAAGACAAAATTTAAGTGTAAGTCTGTTTCTAAGACTTTTTTGGTGTTTCTTTTTTCATTTGATTTGAAAGTTTGTTTTTGTGTGTGTTTTCTGTTTCCCCCTCCCCCCATAAAACCTTGTGGCTGTAATCGCAGTACTCAGGTGGCTAAGGCAGGAGGACTGTTGTGAGTTCGAGACAAACCTGGGCTACAAAGGAAGCTCAAGGCCAGCCTAAACTGCATAGTGAGACCCTGTTTCAAAAAACAAAAACAAAAAGCAAGCAAGCAAGCAAGAAAACCCACTATACTTGGAAACCTGGTATATAAAATTACACAAGTAGGTAGTCCTGCTGTGTTTAAGCAGGTTTGGGGTGACACTGTTCACCTACTTTACCCACCCCCTTCCACTATCACCAGAGAAGCTTTGGGGCCCTCTGGGGAATTCCCAGAACCTTGCACAAAGCATATGAACCCTACTATTTTAGAAAGGTATCAGGGATTAACCAGTGCTGTAAATATCAATCGTTTGGTTAGTTTTAGTTTGTGATACTAAGTAGTATTTTCATGTTTCTGCATTGTCTGGATTTTCTAAATTATAAAAACTGCAATCTGAGTTAAAGGACAAGCCCTGGAAGTTAAAAGATAATCGATGAGAATTTCCAGGAGGCTTGTATTTACATTTTAAAGACATATAAAACTCAGAGTCATAGAAACAACCCTAACATTGTGAATCCAGTGAAACCCATTTAACCCCCACCCCACACCCGGCAAAGTTTATGAACATTCCAAGGGATAAGAATACAGGAACCTTTACTTGGTCTTCACAGAGAGACTTTTAGAACTTTCGATAATAATAGCCCAGTGTGGCACACACATGCCGTAGGCTTACCACCACTGCTTTAAGTAGATAAGCTTTCTCTCCTTTCTTCAGGGGAAGGTGGACATTGATAATTGTCCTGCGCCAATTCACAGGTTATTGATTCTGGGATACTTCTCCCTCTCTTAATTCAATCCCTGTATAGTGTAGGACTGACCAGCTGGTTCTCATTGGATCACCTGAGGTAGATACAGTGAAATGGTGCATTTCTTGATGTCAGCAGTAATAACTGATCTCTGTTCCAGAAAGGTTGTGTTTACTTTCAAGCCACAAAGGAACAAATGGGGTTATTAAAAACTTAGCATTTTTAGGTAAACACTTCTTAGGGGGATATGTTTAACTCTATAAATATAATAATATAACATGATTTCTATATTTCTAATATTATAGGAATTATTGTATATTTACTTGCAACATAATCTTTTTTTTCAATATTTAACTTTATGTTTCTTGCAGCTTTTCACATTATTTTATTTACTGAGTTATCTATTAGCTAACTGTGTCATGTTAAGGACTGATAGTAGTACAGAAGTAAATGCATATCTAGGAGTGATTCATTCACTGGAAGAGTTAGGCCTGCTTTGAATACTGTAGATCGCTTAATTATCACTTAAATATTATCAGAAAAGCAGGAATTAGAAGGAAGTTCTTTTTAAGTCTCTTAAGTCAAAATTCCACTATTTCATTAAAATTTGCTCTTTATTTCTAAGTATGCATAGTAGTCAAGCACAGAAGAAATGTTTTTTTTTTTGTCTTTTTCATTTTTATCGGTACCGGGGATCAAACTCACAACTGCCTGTTTGTAAGGCAGGTGCTTATGCCACTGAGCTAAATCCCCAGCCCCAGAAGAAATGTTTTATACATATGTATTTCTTTATAGACAAAATATTCTTTATCCAGGTATAGCACAAGTTTTAAGGCATTAAGTCACACTTAAAGAAGTGTTCATTGAAAATAATAAACTTACTGACAGAATGCTTTTGTATGAAAAAGGAGAGTTTTCCAGACATGGAACACTAAAATGTTTTAAAGTAAATAAATAAAATTTTAATGTCGTTAAGCTCTTTATCTTTGTATTTTGCCATTTTTTAAATGATAGACAAGTCCCATACGTTGAATGTCTCTTTCAAAACTTATGTTGAGGTTTAATTGCTTTTAAGAGATGAGGGTAGAGCTTTCACTATAAATTAAGTCTGTTATGATGCAACTGGATTAGTTGTTGCAAGAGTGCTGTGGAGTCTGAACAGGCAGAAAACCAGTAATGTGCAAGTACATTACAGTTACAGTAAACCTAGCACCTTGCCTCATCAGCTTTCTCTGAACTGGCAAGTATAAAGAGGCCATAACATCCTGCATGGGCTAGACCACACACGTAGTAAATAATAAGTATACCTTTGATACAGACCACACATATTTTTCTCAGTGGCCCTTGCTCAGACTTGATGCATATAGGTGTGCTTATCTCAAGCCTAAGAACTTCCAGTGGGGACCAGAATGGTAGATCATGTCAAACTGGCTCCTTCATTGTATAACACTTTTATAAATAACCTCAATAAATGTGGACATTATATGCCGTAATAATGAACTAAGAAGGGGCCCAGGAGTTAGCTCAGTGGTGTAAGCACCCGCCCAGCAAGCATGAAGTTGTGAGTTAGATGCCTGGTACGAAAACAACAACAAAAAAGAACTAAGATTAATAATATAAAAAATGATAAAGAGGGAAGGAGAATTAGAGGAGGACATAGGGGGAGAAGGAAGGTGAGTTTAAAAAGTAAATGTACATGTTTATATGTACATGTACCAATTCCCCAAGATGATTGTAAAATGCATGTATAGCAGACATATACTAATAAAGAAAATGTATAAAACGATATAGTGCAATTACTCTTGTGAAACACATAGACTGCAAGCTAACCTAAAAAAAGCTCTCAGGGACACTTGTTTTGATCACCTC